ACACACACACACACACACACACACACACACACACACTCACTCACACACACAGAGTACTTGAGCATCTGACGTCAAACTAGTGCAGTCAGGTTAGGACTGTGATTAGCCTTACCTCTTCAGAAGCAGCAATTCGCTGCTTGTCCTTAATTGAGCAGTCAGTGCCAGCTGGCTTCCTGTGTTTCGGCTGCGGGAAGGAGGGAGCGGTATCTCCAAACTGATACTGGAAGAGCTGCACATAGTCCCTGGCAAGCGATTATCTGGTTTCCTGGCTTAGCAGTTGGTGTACACAGCAAGTGAGGGCATACTAGGCATTTCATAAAGAAACTGACACCCACATTAGAGTGTAACTGAAGTCACATTTTCCTAGTAATGTGGGTGGGGAAATTTTGTACCCCTCCTTCTGCTCACTCTGCCTTCAGCAATACCAGTTAAGGAGCACTGGGACCAACCCCTTCTGAATCCTCCTGCTCAGGGAAAGCCTGCTGTTCATGAAGTCAGAGCTCCTCAGAGGCATGGAGGTCCAGAGTAGATCATGACCTCTATAATATAAAGAATCATATTTCCAATCATATCTACTCAATCTCTATATTAGTAGTAGACAACCAAAAAAATGAGAACCTACAAAATTAACTCTGCAGTGAGTGACACATGAATTTGACATTAATTTCCTTCTTTGGTCTACTTTGTCTCTGTGAATTAAGACTTTGCATCCACTAGAGCAGCCATTCTCATCCTTTGGGACATGATCCTTTCTTCCCCAAGTTGCTTTTGGTCACTGTGTTTCATCATGACGGTGTTAGCCTTAACTAGAATGGAAGTTGGTACCAGGATAGTTGGGTATTGCTATGACAGACCTGACCATGTTTTGAGACAAGATTGTAGAAGGACATTGGAACTTTGGGATAGAAGAGCGGTTGAGTGTTGAGGGCTCAGTGAGTTGTTTTGTTGAAATTTTGAAGATTAAAATGTTAAGAGCAGAGAAGATGATAGAAACCTGGCTTGTGATGTTTCAGAGAGAAGCAAAGACTCTACTGTGCCACTTACATGAGGAATCTGTGATTTCTGATCAGCTAGAGCTAAAGAATCAGCTGTGATTAACAAGAGGCCAGAACCACTAAAGTAAAACCTTTGCTTTACTGGAACAGTTGATGCTGGTCCGTTAGAACTTAGAAATTAGTGGTGATTGAGAAGAGACCATCTTTGAGCCAAAAATCTTCTGGAAAGTATTATTTCCTGAGAGCACAGAGAAGCTGTGTTCCAGAGGCAGCCACGGTTGTACCTTGAGCTGGAAGCTGAACTTGGTAGTGTAAAAGTCACCCAGGTGGTACTTGTTTTGAAGGCATGAAGAGGTCAAGGAAAAGCTTAGCACTGTGACAGACAATTGGTGAAAGCGCAGCCTCAGTGGCAGTTGAAGGCCCAGAACTGAAGGGGTCATGCAAAAAAAGGTTGAAGGTTGGTACCATGAAGAGAGTCCATGAGAAGCTCTTGGTGAAAGTGCAGCACAATTGCAGCAAAAGACTGAAGCCTTTTGAAGATGCTAGTACCATGGGATAACCACCAAGAACAGCAGGAGCAGTGGAGTGGAGCCATCCTGATCTTAGAAGACAAGTTGTGTGTGCTGCAGAGGGCAGAGCTGGAGAAGTGACCCAAGCCCTTTGGAGGAGCCCATAAAATTGTGAGTCAATCCCAGATATTGGCTATTTTGTTATTCACCCTGTTGGAGTTTGTTTTTTCTTCAATCTGATTGTGACTGTGCCCTGGTTCTTCCCTCTTGAAGTAAAGTATTTAACTTAATTTTGATTTTTATAGGAGCTGACAGTAGAGCAATTTTGAACTTTTGAAAGAGATTTTGGAGTTTTAATGAGACTGGCTGTTTTAAGGAGACTGAATTTTTAGTATGTTTGGATTTGTAGAGACTGTGGGACTTTTAAAGCTATTTATGTTTTTTTATGTGAGATCTTGGGGATGAATGGGAAAGGAAAGTTTTTGGCTTAATTATGATATCTTTGTGTGTCAGGTTGAAAAGGGGTCAATTGTCCTGGATAGTCTATGTCAACCAGACAGAAGCTAAAGTCATCTCCAGAGGAGGGGATCTCAATTAAGAAAATGCTTCCATAAGACCAGGTTGCTGGTGAGCCTGTGGAACATTTTCTTAAATAGTGATTGGTGGGAGAGGTCCAGCCCATTATGGGTGATGCCATCTCTGCACTGGCAGTCCTGGGTTTTATAAGAAAGCAGGCTGCGGGGCGTTGGTGGTACACGCCTTTAATCCCAGCACTCGGGAGGTGAAGGCAGGCAGATCTCTGTGAGTTCCGAGGCCAGCCTAATCTACAGAGTGAGTGCCAGGATAGGCTCCAAAGCTACACAGAGAAACCCTGTCTCGAAAAACCAAAAAGAAAAAAGAAAAAAAGAAAAGAAAGCAGGCTGAACAAGCCATGATGAGGAAACCAGTAAGCAGCAACCCTCCATGGCCTCTGCATCAGCTCCTGCCTCCAGGTTCCCACATGTTTTCCTGCTCTGACTTCCTTTGGTGGTGGACTACAATGTAGAAGTGTAAACAAATAGACCCTTTCTTCTGTAAGTTGCTTTTGGTCATAGTGTTTCATCACAGCAATAGTAGCTCTAACTTAGACACAGAGTGAGAAGGGAATTAGGGAAAGATGCAGAGAGAGGAAAATAAGGCTAAGTAGATAGCATGAGAAAGGGCCATAATAGCATGTGAGAAGATGTGAGGATAGGCTGTGAGGAGAAGGTGGGTGGAAAGGATGCAAGAGGAGAGTTTGAGGAAAAGTACAGGGAAGACATGAGGAGGGGATGTGAGAAGAGGTCATGAGGAGATATGAAGAAGATATGAGCAGAGGTCCTAAGGGGAATGCATGAGGTGATGGTTGTCTTAAGAAGTTCGGTCATTCCTTCACTCCTTGCTTTTGTACACTAAAGTACTAACTGGGGTCTACATATGGATGTAATTTTTACTCATCACTATATCAATAGAGACGAGAGGGAAAAATCGCAGCCTATAGTTCAGAGGAAAAGATATCATTTTCTAATATTTACTCCACTGCCTTCATAAGGGTCTCTCTAAGGTGAATCATCACGTTCTTAGGCACTGTTTGTTGGTCTCCAGGTAACACTGAAATGTACACACATTATGTGTGACAAGACATTTCTTGGGGAGACACAACACACATGTCTCCTCATCCCAGATAGGGCACTGGTGACAGACCAAAGTCAAATTGATAAACCAATGATTTTATTGGGGTTACTTAGAGGAATATGGTTGAGGGGTCACTTAGAGGAACAGAAATGACTCAAAGACACCTGTATCATCAAAGCTCATCCCAGCATCGATGACAGCTCATAAAAGCTGGTACCTGGAGTGCACTGCACATACTACAGGCATCTCAAATGTGGATGTCATTTCCAGATTCCTCAATGGATCTAGACCTCCTCCAGGCACCTGGGCTGGTCACAGGGCCTTCTTTGCATCTTGGCTTCTCTGAACATAAAATCAGCTTTTATTGTTTACACTGGCAGGGAGGAGCCTAAGGAATCTTAGAGAGATTCCAGAGAGAGTGGGTTTGGGGACGTTGCTGGTGAGCTGCAAATAAATGAGACTCTTTAGTCACTGTTACAGACAGGGATATAGTTTATCCACTTTTCAGAGAAAAGGACTCTGGTACCTCAGGGATAAGCAGTAAGGTTCCAGGTTTCCATTGCCACTCAGGGACCAGCAGCACACACAATCCTGCTGATATTGGGTAATTCATATCTTCTCTTTCATGTGGTACTTTCATTAATTCTATTTATTGTTTTACAATTTCTCATATGTATACATATATGTTTCTATCAAAGTACCCCATTATCCTCTTATCCCCCTATCACCCCCCACTAAATCTCCTCTTCCAAAGTCTGCCTCCTACTTTAATTGTGTGCAAGTGCAGGTGTGTTTGTGTGTGTGTGTGTGTGTGTGTGTGTGTGTGTGTGTGGTTGCATCAGCTCAGAAAAGTTTGAATGTTAAAGGGGTTGGTTTTTATTAAGTTTCTTCTTTCTCTGAATATCACACTTCTTCTAGGTCAGGTGCCCAGAGTGTCCTCTATAATGTGGCACCTTCTTTCTGACCAGGACATACGGGAGAGAACTTGGCAGAAACACAATGCTAAGCAAACATAGAACAGAGCCACTCCCATTGGGAGCTTGAGTGGGCATTAGAGCACAGAATCCATTTATATGGTTGGTGACCAAGTCCCAGAAAACTAATCAAGATTCACATTTCAGGAGACCACAAAGAAAGCACCCAACTGTGCACACCCTGCTTCCTCAGCTGAGAAAAGGAAAATGGTCAGGTTGTAAAACTTTTTATTTTCCACTTTTCGAAGAGAAATCTATCATAAAAGGTGTAAAGTTGTCTATGGGAGGCCATGATTGGGCTGTGTGATAAACAGACAGCTTTTCCTAGCAAAGCCTGGCAGTACCTTGTTCCCATGACTTCAGCTCAGGTGTGCTGGGTCACTTATAGACCCTAATGCACTATGGTGTATTCCCCCTGGGATGTCCTGTTTAACAAAGTCAGCTGTGTCTAAGGCTAGAAAAACAAAGACTTAGAAAGTCTTTGTTGGATGTGACCAATTTTGGATCTTCTGTTTCATCTGAAATCACTTTAGCATAGTCCTTATTCCATAAGAAATGCAGCAGGTGCAGGGCTTTATTTATCTTTATAAATACTAAATTCTTAATCCTAGCTTTTTCTCTGCATTGATGTGTTGAAAGAGATGAATTTCCCATTCTCTAGCCCCACATTTCTGATGCACAGAGGACTAGCTCTGACAAGCACTCCAGGCTTTGTCTGCATCTTCTGGTTCTGAAGATGGTTCAGCGTCTTAAGGAGTGGCAGCCTTGGACTTGGGAGGGCCCACCTGAGGAGAGGCCGGGGTATTTATGGTAGATCCCACAGCATGCTGCTGAATACCTGATTATCTCTTCGCCACTTCAGTTCCAGAATGAGAGCACTTAGAGCTGTGGCGGTCACACTGGCAGTGATGGGAACTGGCATTTTCTTCCCTTTCATCTTGAGAAGCAGAGAAGCCTTGTGGGGTAAGTAACAAACAACATGTGATCTTTTAGTCTTATAAAGTTGTTTTTCACACTCGGTAAACTCAACATGTTACGGCAGTTGTTGAGAACTGCTAAGGACCCTTTTGTGCTTTTCAAAGAGAATAATGTAATTCTCCAGTTTAGAAGGATGAAAATGTAATTCATCCTTTAAAAGAACTGATTTTTTTTTCATGATTGCAGAATAAATCATTTCCATTTTTACCCGTACATATATCTGGAAGAAAACTTCTAAGTATTTTTGTTCCTTTGTTATAAAATCATCTTTCATTAAATGTCTCTGGTACAGTTTCTGCAATTAGTCTGTTGTATGGCAAATTATGGTAAGAAAGCTACTGAGATGTCATGGTTAGCATAATCACTCTTTGCTATAGAGAAGAAAAAGAAAGGGAGGGGAGGGACAAGGGAGAGGAGGAATGGAAAGCAAAAAGGACATGGCAGGGGAGAGAAAAGGATAAGAAGTCACCCTGGACCAAGCTTCCTGGTGGCAGGATGCTGGAGGGGCACTTGTCTCAGACACAGCCCAGCCCTTGGACCTTAGCATCCTCATCTAGATCCAGCTTCCTGCTAGGAGCTATGTTCTGCCTGTGTTTTCTGAACTTCTGGACATTGTGACTGTGCTGAAGTCACCCTGATGCTTCCCCAGACTCAAGAAATCCTTCCTCTTCCCCTCCTTCTGGGTGTCCACACTGGTTACACTAGGATCTGCAAAGCCCTTCTTCTGAAAGGCAAGCCATTCCCCTTCCGAGTCTGGGTCTTCAACTGACTGCCACGGGCATAACACAGCCTTAACTTAGGGAGTGTTGTGTTCCATTGACAGCTAGAGAAAACAAAAGGGGGGGTACTCATTTTAAATCTCACTCCTCCATACCAACCCTTCTAACACTTGGAACATAGCAGGTGTCCAGCTCGCAGACAGGAAGTAAACCACTTTATTCTTTTGTTTAGTGGTTATCAAGGCCCTAGATGAATAAAACAAGACTTCGAAGGTAGAGGTCAAGAGGCTAGTTAAAAGCAAGCTGTTGCACCCATGAAGCTGTTCATAAAGACATCTGCACACCATGGCTTTAAATTCTGGAAATTACATTATTTTAAAAAATCAGGACATGAGGTAACTAGAACTCCACACAGAGATTGTTTTGTTTCTTGAGACAGGGTTTCAGTATGTAGCCCCCATCAGCCTGGAACTCACTGTGTAGAACACACAGAGATCTGCCGGCCTCTACCTCTGCCTCCAGAATGCTGAGATGAAAGGCATGATTTGCAAAACCTGTAATATATTTCACTGTTTTGTTTACGTTTTTAATAACACACAAACAACTTTTTGTAATGATAGTGCACTTTGGAGTGTATTTTTTCATTCATTCTGGTATTTTGAAGCTGGCTTGTTATCCATCTATTCCATAAATTTCTTACTTAGAAAATATGCCCACAGTAGTACCACATGGATCTATGCAAGCACTCAAGAGGATGAAACAAGAAAATCACACTGTTAAGGTCATGGGGGATGCCCTTCTGTAGGCTGTGAATAGATGTTTCTCTGATAGATTAATGAATAAAGCTATTCCAACCAATGAACAGGCAGATGTCTGCTGAGACGCTAAGGAGATAAGGTGTGGTGATTGGTGGCTTGCTCCTCCTCCTCTCTGATCTCTCAGTATTTTCCTCTATATCTGAGTCCGGGTTCTTATTATTTAGACCAGTTAAGAACTCCTTTTTACAGGCCAGTCTTAGCTAATACCTTTGGCCTGGAATAGGCCAGCAGAGGAGCACTTGTCTTAGCATGTATGAGGTCCTGGGTTTGATAATAAATTTTAAAAAATCATTAAAATCACTGGTAGCACCCTTAAAGTTCTTCTTGTACCCCTGTAATTCCATCTGAGACAGATAGACCAAGAATTCAAGGCAAGCATCAGATATATAGTATGTTTAAGTGAAGTCCGCCTAAATTTCATAAAATCCTGTCGCAGACAGACAAAAAAGCAAGCAAAGAGTATTTGTTTCACACTGGTTCAATTTTACATTCTTTAATGTATGGACATTATTTAGTCAGCTGGAAAGAAAAAAGAAACAACAGTGCCTTTGAAACAATAAATATTCACCACAGCCCAAATGAAATGTGTTTGGAAGATGACAACGCAGAGATGACTTTGTGCATTTGGGCGACATCAAAGACACTTTGGGAAGCAAAGTTATAGGACACACACACACACACACACACACACACACACACACACACACAACTGTGCAGAGCCAGAGCCAGGTGGCTCAAAGCACAAAGGAAAAGAAACCACGACACCTGGAAATTCAGTAATAAAGTACTGAAAATGAAAAAAGGTTTCATTTCCTCTTAAAGTACACCCATGACCATTATAAATTTAAGAAAACTGCTCGAATCGTCGTCTCTTGACAGCCCTTGGTAGCACATGCTTCACAGAGACCTGCGTATTCCTCTCTATAGACTGAGACTGGCTTCCAGTGTTGGTGTGAAATTAAGATCCATGCGAAATTATCTTTGTGGTGAACTCAGCGCTAGTTGTGGCTGTGAAGAGAAAATAAGACGCAAGTGAACAGCGTGGGCAGGAAAGCTGCCTGCGAATCCTGAGATTGGGAAGCCAGCCTAGTGGGGGAGTTTGTTTAAAAGGAAAGCTGGCGAGCTGTGTTCCAGTTCACCAGATTTCTGAAAACAGAGCTCGTCAAAACAGGATCCACACATGGCTCTGAGCAAAACCAAGTGATCTGAGTTAGCCAAGGGCAACACTTGGGAGCCTGTGGCCTGCTGGCTTTCTTGGCTGTTTCCTTTTACTCCATTTTGCTTCGTATTAAGGAACATGTTAGGAACTATGTAGCCTGTTTCATTGTCCTGACACACAGTATCTTCTTGTATAATTGGCTCCTTGCATTCCAGTTATGAACATGCAAAAAAAATTCTAGAGGCCAGTGTGCCTCCCAGAGCAGGCGGCACTTTCAGGAGGTACTCATGGAAATCCAGATGACACATGATAACTCTCGGACAGGGAATTAGTCAAGATATTATCTAAAAATTGGATTTCTCTTCTAGAATAACAGAAGAGGCCGAGTTAAAATTCTCAGGTCATTGACCCTACCACCCAACCATAGCCTCAACCACAAGTCAGAGGTAACCTGTGTACCTGCTGGGTAGATCTTGAGGTGCAGACAAGGCCATGGTCGTAGAGAAGCACTCTGTCCCCCCCTGCTGGCAGGAAATCCATTTGCAAAGGGTCTCATCCCTCCCTGTGGGGAAGAAAGAGAAGAAGGCTCCAGGGATCTCCAGCCCTGGAGAGATCCAGGAACCCACATCAGGACCCCAGCTCCCAGCTGCCTAGCAGCACCCCTCATTTATCTGCCTCCACACAGCTTGTTCCCAACCACCTGTTCCCTCTTCCCTCCCTCCATTTCTCTCTCACTTCGTCCCTTCCTCTTACCTTCCCTCTTTCTTTTCTTCCTTTCGCTGAGAATGCTGTCTAGACAACTTCCCAGCTTGGCTCTGTCAGTTAGCTCTGACAGCTCTCATGGGATGTCAGCACACAGACCAAGGCTTGCTGGCTGCCAGGTTTTCCTCTTGTTTATCCTTCATCTGTCTAATTTATGTGGCCCCAGAACGTGTTAACCTAAGATGGGCAGAGAGGAGGATTCTCTCCTCTGTTGTAGACAAATGAGGCATCTCTGTTCATCCAAAATGTGATTAACTTAAAAACCCATCCAGTTCCATGGGGATTTAAGAAGACCACAGATGAGAAGTATTTCTGCAGGAAATTTTTCAATACAAAAATCTTTGGTTTAAAGACAGTATTTGAAATAACAAACCTTCCTTTAAAATTGGTAGAATATTTTGTTTTGCAATATAGCAAATTAAGTATAAACAATACATGATCAGTTTGATTTAAATATCATTTTAATAGGGGTAAATAACAGGAAATTCTCTCACCGGCAGCTACTATTCCCCAGAATAGTAAACACACACACACACACACCAAAATATTTTTTCTTCATACTTAATTCTTCTATTAAATCATTTAGGTCTCACACATGACAAGTGTCTACTAAGTACAACTTTCAGCTGGGTAGAGGCCATGTGATTCAGCCCTTTTTGGGTCACAGTACACAGGATTCACAGTGATGAACTGGTCATTTTCATCTGCTGCATCCACTCAGAGGGTCATTATACTGTTAAGGAAGAGAAAATAAGTTGGATATTTTAAATACTTGGGGGGATATGTACACAAAGTAAAGGTGTTTGTGCCCATGTGTATACATATAGAGGCCAGAAGAGGGCGTCAGGAGAGCTATCATGCTTTACCCTAAGACAGGTTCTCTCAATGAACTAGACTGGCAGCCAGCAAGCTTTGGTGATCCTCCTGTCCCTGCTCTGTGTAGCATTTCAGCAAAAGGTTCATGAAGTTATGCCAAACTTTTTCATGACTATTGAGATCCAAACTGAGGTCCTAATGCTGTGTAGCAAATGTTATTCACTAAGCTGTTTCTCTAGTGCCAGAGGAAGACACTTTTTTAAATCAGGCACAGAGCTTTGAAATAGTAAACCTCACCCTTGGAGATTTTGAGGGTCTGGATGTTACTCTGCGGGCAGCCGGGTCTTTGTGTTGTGAGGGAGGCACAGTCTAGCACGTCTGCATTTTAAAAGGCACCCGACTGACAGCAGGAACAAAAGAAAGTTGAGATGTCTCAGCCATAACTTTCCCAGTGACAGGAGTGTAGGGGGAGCCAGTTGTGAGGCACAGAACTTCCCAAAAGGCATTCATGAAGTGAAAGGGGAAGAGAAACATTTTCAAGTGTCTCCAACTGCACTTGACTCCAGACAAACTATCAGGTGCTGTCTTAGTCCCTGTTCTGCTGCTGTGAAGATACACTGTGACCAATGCAATGCTTATAAAATGAAAGTATTAAGTTGGGGGCTTGCCTACAGTTTTTAGAGGGTTAGTGCAACATCACTGTGGTGGGAAGCAGACAAACATGGCACTGTCTAGAGGAAGAGAGCTTTTCCCAGCTAGTAAAATCAGGACCATAGCTAACTTCAGGAACGGAAATGAAAACTAGGTATAGCAAGGTAGATTTAGAAGGAAACAATGAGTAGACACTCTGTTCCACGCTGAGGACTGGTGTGATCTTGGGGAACTTGTGATCACAAGTGTCTGAGACTCTCCAACAGTTTCTTATCATATTGCTATGCATCAAATATCAAAGGCAGGTGCTGTCAGGAACTGAATGCTATAGTATGCCCTCATTCGTGCAGTGTCTAAAACACCCAGTTACTTAGTTTGACTTCTCACAATTTGTTTCTTTTTACATAGATGCTAATGCTCAGAAACAGCTCAAAAATTCAGTCATTTCTAGAGACCACGTGACCGTCACTGTGTCCATTTGCACTTGGGGAAGAAAGCTAAAGCTGGCAGATTTGCTGTACTGTGGGTCTGTTTCAGCGGTGTCATGTTTTATATCCTAGGGAAAACTTTGAAGTCCCATGTTATCAGTGTTGTGGAAGCGAGCCAGCTCATGGTGGACAATGCAGTCTACAACACCATGAAAAGGTAAGGGACAGTGTTCACCTTTACCCTCTTCTTGCAAATGAGGCACTGAAGCCATTACTGAACGATTCATGGTTCCAGTGTTGTTGGCAACAATGAAAATCACAATGCTCTGTCTCCAACGCTTTGGTCAGAGGGACACAGATCAAGAGCCCAGGGTCTGATCATGGTTCAAGATGCCATGATGACAGAGTCTGAAGCCTGTTCAAGAATAACATTAAGACACATGAAGGAGGAAAGGGTGCTTTACACCTCAGGCTTTGTGCCTAGCCATTGTGATGTCATCGAAACATTACCTCAAGCATAGAATCAAAGCTGCCCATCACTTTTTTCCTGAAATAAATGACATCATACACTTTTTTAATTTTTTAAAAAATGTTTTATAATCTTGTTGTGTTTGTGTGTGTGTGTGTGTGTGTGTGTGTGTGTGTGTGTGTGTGTGTGTAGATGGTTTTTTGTTCACATGCATATCTAAGTACCAGGTCCATGCCTTGTCCTTGCAGTGGCTAGGTGAGGGCATCAGATCTACTGGAACTGGGTTTACAGACAGTGATAAACCATAGTATGCATGCTGGGAATCCTCTCTGGGTCCTCTAGAGAAGGAGTCTGTGCCCTTAACCAGCCATTTTTCAAGCCCCTGACATCATGCTTTTAAAAATGTGACTGACACCAGTGCTAATGGTGTCATGGCGTCTCGTTAGATGTTCAGAAAACATCAAAAAACATATTAGGTTTTTTTCTTTACAAGCATATCATTTTGTTGGAAGTTACATCTCTCAAGGAACAAATTATTACCTGACATCTTCTGATTGACTCCAAATTTCTATTATGCCAGGTAGGAAATGTTTTAATTATTCAGCATTGCGTACAGACAGATTGTTGCTTGACTATTAAAAAAAAATTGAAGGTGAAAGAAAGAAGAAACAGTATTCCCTAGCATGTGAACTGATGCAAATCATCAGTGAAGACAGGGTATTTTTAGTCATGTGGGATGCTTCTGGGAATCTTAGAGCCAGAGGAGTTACCCACTGGAAGTGGGCAACGTGGCAGAGAATTCATAAATCTAAGAGTTTCATGGTGTCGACCCCAATGCAGGAACTGCAGCTGATGAGGTAGGACCCCCATGATGTCACCATTTGGGGAGGAAGGGGCATGAGACTGTCTAGCAGCATGGCAGCTTCAGCTCTGATTGGCAGCCTGTGCTTCTGCAGTGGGAAATACAGCCAGGTCTACAAGCTGGCAAGGGTGGCTAGGGCCTACTGCCAGTAATGGCTGGGCCACTTAGGTTGATATGTTGGAGGAAGCAGCTCCAAAGACCCGTGAATGGGGGTGGGCACTTATGCTCACCAACCCTTTCTGGATGTAGGATTAAAGCCACCAACCCCTCCACTCTCCTGAACCAAGAGTCCTCATCAGACCAAGCAGATGAGCATTCCTGGCTCAAACTTGCTTTTGTGCATCTGCAGAACAAAATCTGTATCCATATATTCACCAAGTGGCTCCCCTCTCTTCCTCTATCTGTTTCTCTCCCTCTTCCCTTTTCTCTCCCTCCCTCTCCCACTCCCCCTTCCCAGAAGGTGGATGGGATTACTTTCCCTCTTTTTGTCTCTGCTGAGAGGCAGTGGGTCTGGGGAAACAGGAAATTGCCAGGATCACATCCTTCCCTACAAGGTCCACTCCCAGAGCAATAAATATGCTCCCTTTCAGCATTCTGAGTGAATTTCTGGTTTGCAGTTGCCCATGGGCTCCACGATATATTTAGCTGGATTATCAGGACTCAGGTCAGTGACATCATCTTAGTCTGCTGATGCAGAAATATTCCAGGGTCTGCCTGGCAGTAGATTGAGAAGCAAAGGGCACAGGATGCCTTAATGAGAACGACACTGCTGGGCAGCATTCTCCACTTCTCAAACACCCAGGGGACTAACGAGAACATAAATCTAGCACATGGTTGTCTGCAGCTTTTCACAGGAGGAATGCTGAGCCAGCTAAACACCGAGTTCCCAAAATGTGAATGTAAAATCAATATCCTTCTGCAACTCTAAGGACACACAGCCATCATTTAACATCCTCCCAGTCTCTGCAGCTGGAGTGTTAATGAGCCCTGCACAATGGCTGGAGTCCTGCACTGTGATTGGAGGCTTAACACTTGAGCTGCCTATTTGGCACCTCCCCCAGGGGAAGCAGCAGATGGACAGCTGACTGGGCAATTGATACAAACACTTCATCAAGCCCCCAAGATCAGAGCACAGAGCAGACTGTGTATGGAAGGGAAGTAATCCACCAGGGAGGACCAATCCTCTTGAAGGGCTGTGAGATAGCTAAGGGGATAAGCCAGGAGAATATATAGGCACTGGTCCATGGTAACCATCAGCAAGCTGTGAGGACTAGAATGCCAAGCCTAGGGGTCAAGGTACCAGGAAAGACTGTCTCTAGTGGCTGTCTACCCCAGAACAGAGCAGGGTACTGGCATCACCAATCCACCAGTCCCGGGTTCTTTTGCTGTATCTAGGTAGGCATTCTAGACAAGCACAGACAAGCGCTTCCAGTGCTGGGCTCCGATAGCTTTCATTTCCCTGTTTGGCAGCAGTGAGCAACAGCAGTAGGCATGTAGAAGTTAGCAAGTGGCCCCCTCCAGTGTCATGGTCCCCGTGAGTCTCAGGTATAAGGGCCCTTAGCCTTACAAGTGTAACAGTACCTACCAGGCCTGTTAAAGGGAACCAAGATCATTCAGATAGGGATTTTTTTTTTAAAAGAGAAAATGTTGACCATTTTCTTCAGCACCCAATATTGATACTCTATATTTATGTTCTATCCCTTTTAGTGACCCCCCAGCAATCCTGTGGTTCAGAACTATCTAGGCTTTTTCTTTGTATACCCCATGGTGCATTGTCTGGTGTGTGCAGTCACTCAATGAACATCCTGTTTATTGGGTATATATGTGTTAGTGACTGGGGAACAATAAAGGGGGATGTCTGTTTGCAGGTTCATATGCATACATATGTATGAGGAGGCCAGAAGCCAGCCTTGGGAGGCTTACACATTATATTTTGAGATTTGACCTCTCCTTGGAATATGGGGCTCACCAATCAGGCTAGCCTTCCCCACCTCCCCAGCACTGGGGTTACAGGCATACATTACTATGCCCAGATTTTCCCATGGGTTCTGGAGATTAAATCTGAGTACTCATAAGTTTGTTCATCAAATGCTCTTACCAGCTGAGCTGCCTCTCCAGCCCCAACTAACTTGTCTGTTTATGCTCTAGAAACCTCAAGAAAAGGGAAGTCCTTTCCCCAGTACAGCTCCTTTCTTTCTCCAAGCTGCCAGAGTCCACCAGTGGGGCTATTTCCCGAGCAGCAGAGATCATGGAAACCTCAATACAGGCTTTAAAACGTAAACAATCAGAGTTCTTCACAGGTAAGTGGCCACATGCCTCTACCTCTGGCTCTGCTTAAACCAATTTCATATTTTTGTTATTCTGGGAATATAGTTCCTCTGGTATTTGAATCCTATTTAGAGAAACATGCCTTTTATGGTCTAAAGTAAATTGGGAATTTTCCTGTCACCTTCCTACCTAGTGAAACTCAGAGAACATATTCATTCAGGAGCTGTCTGAGGAAGCATTCATTCAGGTTGTGTCTTGTCACAGCAAGCAGAGGGCTGGACAGGAGCTTCAACTTCCCAGTTTGTAGCCAGGGTCTTCTGATTTAGTCACTCAAGGAATGTGATAGCCTCATGGGCTTTCCAAAATTGAGGTGAGTCTGCTGTCTCTGGCTGCTCGCAGGCTGACTGCAGAAGCGTACACTGGAAGAAAGCCTGAACCATCTCAGATCAAAATGCCTCAGGGCCAGGCGCTGGTGGTGGTACACCTTTAATCCCAGCACTCGGGAGGCAGAGACAGGAGGATCTCTGTGAGTTCAAAGTCAGCCTGGTCTACAGAGTGAGTTCTAGGACAGGCTCCAAAGCATGAAGAGAAACCCTGTCTCAAAAAACCAAAACCAAAACAACAGCAAAAAACAAAACAAAGCAAACCTTGCAGACCTGAGATACTGAAGCAAACATAGGCATGGCCCAGAAATGAATCATAATTTTTAGGGTGCCACACTTGAAAATCAGCTTTCTTTTAACAAACACAGTGAGATTTACTTCCGATGCAGTGTTGTGAGCTACTTGATCTCTGATATATATTACTCTAGTGCTGCTTTGCCTAATGAGATGAACTCATTTTAAACCAGGATTAACCACAATTCTCAGATCCAACACTGAATAGTTAAGTTTAATTGATTTTTTATAGCAACCAGAAAGTCATTCCTAAAAGGGTTTTGTTTCAGATCACATAGTTGGAAGACCTTTTTAAGGACATTGGTCCCTATCCAGTAGTGACATCAGCTCAGACAGTGGTAGAAGTCATATGGGGTGACCTATCCGGAGGATAAGAGCCTACTGGCTCCTGCTTCCATTTTGCAAGGCTCTCAGCCCAGGCCAGAGTGAGAGCATGCTGGGAAGACAGGCCATAATATGAAATTGAAGAATTCTATCCTAAAGGACATTTTAAAGTTATTTAGGTTATAGACTCAGCCACTCCCGAACATTTAAGATATAATAATGAAGGTGAACCAATCCAAATAGACTTCTTGCCTATTTGAGTGCACTGGGTAGAGGGACCAGGTTGTTTTTGAACATAGGATTGTTCACCAATAAAAGTTCCATCAAGCGAGTCTTGTAACAAGACTGCATTTGCTGCTCTCTCTTAAATAGGGAATCCATGGCCCTCACACAGCTGAAAGCAAACCCTGTCTCTTTTCGGTTTGCTACTTTTCCCAAGGCTTGGTATGGAATACTCATCATTGAGACGTTTGCTCTGTTTCTCTTCTATTTGAAAATAGGGTGCATTCCTGTTGATTTTTTTTTTCTAGTGCAGTGGTTCTCAGCCTTCCTGATGCCGTAACCCCTTTAATACAGTTCTTCATGTTGTGGTGACCCCCAACCATAAAATTATTTTCATTGCTACTTCACAACTGTAATTTTGCTACTGCTATGAATTGTACTGTAAATATCTGATATGCAGGATATGTGACCCCTGTGAAAGAGATCATGTCCCAGAAGTTGAGAACCACCATTCAATTTCATTAGTATATAGTCATCAAAGTTTTGTAGGGTTGTTTTCAAGCCTCCAAGCCTTGATTTGTTGAGTAACATAAATAGTGACAGAATTGGCAAGAAAAACAGTAAACATAAACAAAACAGACTGCATTCAAAGGCTCTAATTAGAGAGTTTATAAGAGAAAAGAATCAATAGGAGAAAGAAAATAAAGGTTTTTATAGTGGAAAGAATGAACACTATCAGCAAGCTAAACCAGGGCAAGTTTCTATGGGAAGATACACATCTTGTGTTAGTGCTCTCCTGAAGCATGGGATAATTGTGAGATGGGAATGTTTTGTTGTACAGATATAATGAGTTGGCCCCAGCGATGTGTCCTGGGAGATGGGTGACAACTCTAAGAAGTAGCCAACTGGTTTGTTTTCCTGGTACCTCATGACTCTTAGGTTGTTTTTCTGAATGTTCACAAAGCACAGAAGTAGACAAAGCCCCAACACTCTTACCAATGAATATGCTCGATGGGGGTTAATAAAGTTGTATATGACAGAGAAGGAGATGGTAGGTTTTCCCAGAATGGTGACTGAGGCTACATAGGAAGCCTTGGTGCAGATGTTGAGGCTATGACTGATACACCATTGGAAAGGTACTTCTTCTGATATTCACGTCACACACAGTCTGGTCTGTCTTGTTATGCAGATACCCTATCAGCAGACCTTCTGGGCACAATTGCCAACCTGTCAGGATGTTTGCCTTTCATGCTGCCACCAAGATGTCCTGATACCTGCCTGGCAAATAAGTACCGACTCATCACAGGGGCTTGTAACAACAGGTACTGTGTGAAGACCCTCTACCAGTCATGGGCCCCTCAATGACTTGGTAACTACAAGCCATAGTGAAGAAGTAGGCTCTAGGTCCATGAATTGTGAACAACCACCCCTCTCTGTGCTCTGTTCTCCCATACTTCAGCTTCTTGGCATTGCCACCCTCATGCTGCCCTGAAATATGGATACAGGCAGCAGAGGAGAGGGGTTTTTTGCTCTGTCTCACCCTTATCTTCTAAAATCACTAAATGGACTACCCTTACCTAATGGCTCAAGGCAGATACCTAGACAGCATCCTTAACTTCTCCAAATCTTCTACCTGTCTCTAGTGTGTCACCAGGACTTTCTGCTTCCTCCCACCAACCTTTACTGAAGGAAGGGTTTGACTATCTGCCACAAGGCATCATCAGCTCCTGCAGCATGTGGCTCTTGCCCCCTTCCATGATGTGCCGGAAGTCAGACACAAACCATCACAATGACCCCCAACCCATGCCTCTTCTTGATCTCACTTGGCTTCAGAGCAAGATCCCAGCTCAATGCATTTTTCTGGGATATCCTACCAATCCAGCAGGCCACTTGCTCACATCAATACTTTGATTATCATGTTTATCAATTTTAACCTTTTCCTTTACCCTCTCCCAATCCTGCACCCCTGTACTGTAGGGTGCATATTCCTGCCTTAATTCTACATGGTGCTGCATATCAGGGTTGGGTAGAGCTAGACAAGAATCCAAGAAGTGTGTGGAGTGAATATGGGTAAAGGACACTATCTTCAGGAAAACCCTTGAGGAAGATGCTACATACATCCTAACAAATCTTTTGGGTTGTTTCTGCACAGCTGCCAGAAGACATTAGTTCTTTTTTGGGTTCTCCAAACCCTCAGTATGGACTGATGTTGGGTAGTTTCCACTGGTTATTATTCCACATGGGCTGGATGATATTGCTTCCCTAACTTGAGTTTCTGTGCCCAAGATATTAATGTGACCACACCCCATACTATTGCTTAACTTTTCAGCTGGGCAGGTTCCTCTTACCAGGGGTCTAGCTGCCTCTGTTGGACTCTGTTTCAATAGTCACCATGTAATTTCCTATCAAGCCACTTCTCTTGTCTTGATTTCAGAACAGGTACCCTGAGTTTTTCCTCAGTTCCCAGATAACCACTTGCCCAGACAATAGCAGGGTCTTTCCCTCTTGGACTGTTCCCTCTAGATTCCCAGTGAGTTTCAGCTTCAGGCACATTTTAGCCTTTGTCTCTAGAGCCTGTGATAATCTTGTGTCTCTCTGCTATAAATCCAGCCCTTGATCAAGTTTTACACCACATCTTTTTCCAGTCCAGAGTTCCACCATGTGTGTAGCTGAAGGGTCTCTCTGGAAATTACCCCTAGATTGGCCCAAACTTCATAGCCCTGGCTCTGGAGAATTCACCTGGTACATCCCCTCATTTTCATCTCTTGTTAGAATAGGCATTGTTGCTTATTATCATTTTTCTTTCAATGGGTCACAGGGAGGTTGTCTTAATTTTCTTTTCCTGACAAAAACAATCTAAGGGGGGGGGATGGTTTATTCCGATTTGCAGTTCTGGGCTACATCATTGTGGGGAAGTCAGTGTGTCATCTTAAAGCAGCTGCTCACATCATAACCTCAGTCATGAAAGAGAACACTGAATGTTAGCTACTTGGCTGGCTGGCTTTCTCTACTTTATTTACTCCAGGATCCCTTGCCTAAGTAATGGTGTCACACATGATTAAGATGGGTCTCCCCCCATCAATACAGTCTCCCACAGGCATGCTCAGAGGCTTGTCTACTAGATGACGCTAAATTCTGTCAGGCTGATGATCAACAGTAACCATCAGAGGGGGTTTCTAATCCATCATCTTACCTGTAAGTCCCTCATTTGGCAAATTATGTGATATTTGTAGTAGGGATAGAGGAGAGCTTTGGGTGTGTTTACATAAATGATATTAAATGTACTTCCAACATTATTGTTTACATGCTGAATTCCATTAGTGCCTTATCATGAACCAAGGAGCCTAGTATATGTGAGAACTTATTGCTGGACTCTGGTAATTAGGGGAAGAGGGTACACAACTGATCGCAGAGGTCTTACCCCCACTAGAAAAACAAGCAGAATCAGAAACAAAGATCTTAGACACATGAAGGAGTCAGTGTGCATCTTACCACAAAGAACAATAGCCACTTGGACACTGGGTTTTTTTCCAGTCGAAGAGCAAAGTCAGGTGTCTGTGAGAAATGGGATGAAGCAATACCCCTCCCCCAATCACTATTATCCATGAACATGACTTTGTAGGCTATCTAATTTTGACTGTCAGTAAGTTCTCACTGGTCTGACTGTTGCTGATCCTTAGAAAACTCCAGTTGTCTACCCCACTGCCAGAGAATCAACACCTTTCCATGACAGAGATGCTTCAGTTATAGCCACTTGGCTGCAGCAGCATTTGCCCTCTATGGCCACTGTCCCCTTGCCTAAAAACACAGCCCTTAAATACTACTTATCAGGGATCTTACGACACAAACATATATCATAGGGAACTGAAAACTGTTCCCTGAGTGCAGGAATTGAAAGACAAGGCTGGGCCCACCCTCCAGCAACTTACTTGTGGGTAGATGTTAGAGACCTAGAACTGTCTACTTAGAGGGTTCATGGGTCTGAAGAAGATATCTAAATCCTAAACCCTTCAGTCCAATGGTTGCCTTTCAGAATTGTTTCTCAGACCTGGCTGTTCTCTCCCCACCCATGTAGGCTTTTCCTCCCACCCCTGCTGTCATTTTATTACTGAATGTTTCCCTCTGCTAGGGCTTATTAGCAGAAGCCTTCAGCTTTATTCATGATGCCCTAAGGAATTGATGGCTGTTTTGATCCCTAGGATTCATAGAACCATATCTGCTTCCTGCCCCCAACCCCATTCTGCTCAGAACCCATCAGAAACATGGGTGGTTTTTCATTTTTTTAATACTGTCTCCAAGAGAGTATCTAGAAAAGGGAAAGCAAGTTACCTAAAATCCAAACAAATACAGAAGCTTTTGATGTACTTCGATAGACAAAGGGCTCACACTGAAGGGTAGAGAAAAGGAATTGTTCTTCCAGGCAGTAGCAGAACAGGCAAAGATGCTGAGCAGCCAATGTTAAACACACCCAGTTCATACATGCTGGGTGCTACAGAGGGATCCCTAGCTAATATAATTCAGAACCATGCCTCTGTCCTTAAGACTTAAACATAAAGTCCTGATGAAACAGATACCATGTTACAAGTATTGTGTTAAACAAGTGCCCCCCAGAACATGAAGGAGGGATAAGAGCCCCAGAGAGTTGAAGGGAGACCAGCCCTTCTAGCAGAAGTAGATCACACAACAACCCATGTTCATGAGAGCTTGCTGCTATCTGGCTGCTTTTCTCTGCTTTGGTAATCCATGATCCCCTGACTAGGGAATGGTAGTTCCTTCTGGGTAGTTAGTTCTTGGGAGTAGAGATGTCTACCTACCTTGGGATGCAACCTTCTTCTTAAACTAAATTGGAAAGAAGAGACATGTGGAGCTCTAAGAGACTCGAAGGCACAGCAGGAGTGGGGCCATCCCCTGCAGATGGATGCAGATACTTTTAGCACTTCTTAGAACACAGCCTGAGATCCAAAGCTTGGCTCTTGAGGAGGCAACATGATCCATGCAACAAGGATGGTAATATATGAGGACAGGGCAGGGCAGAGAATGAATCCAACCCTGTGATATCATGCCCAAGGCTTGGCCTCTGGAAAAGGACACAGATGAGAATGTGCCCCGCTCAACCAATCATACATGTCCTCGGGAGTCCAGTGATAATTACTGACTGTCACCATGAAGTGACTCTTTAGCATCTAACCTTCTTGGCCCAGGCTTGCGCCTCAAATTGTCCCAATGTAACTCAGCATGCTTTTCCAAGGAGACCTGTCCTAGAGAGTTGCTGTAGTGAGTGGCTGACTTGACTGACCTCAGGGTACTATGTCATCTCAGGATTAAAGCAGGCCTCTCAGCCTCTGGAAAGCATGAGATGAGCCCTGATCACCTGGCTCCTGTGGTCCTATAACTCTCTCACCAGAGTTGACTTGAGGGTGTCTAACCATTGCCCAGTTGACAGGCTTGCCAACTGTATCTCCTACTCAAAGACAGACATGTGCCATGGTCTGCAGAACCTTAGTAAGGGTCAGCATGTCAGCTTCCACACAGTGCTGATCTGTACTCCTCTTCATGGGGGACGTTTTCGGTTCAATACAGTCCAAAGACTCAAATATAATTCTTAGGGGAAATGACAAACTCTGAAAAGAAAATGTTATGGATGTATCTCTTACCAGAAGGACTATTTGTCATACAACTTTCTATAAGCATTCCCTAATAGTTAAATTAAACTTTGAGTTTGCCTTTCAAACCCATTGTGAAATAACCTAACTCCTGATAACTGACAGCTTCAATTGGGGCCATTCCAGAAGGACTAGCTAGCAACAAGTGTGATGTTCTAGGGAGGCCTGATGACTTCTGTGAGTCTGCATGCACAGTGAGTCCTTTCCCTAGATGTGTGTCTTGTGGGCACACAGTCACAGGCACCTTTAATCCCTACTTTTTTTCATTTGTGTTTTAATATAACTCATGAAATTGTGATACATTTTGGAGATTTCTGGGAGGAATTAACACAATCAACCCTTCTGGGGAAAAGTCTACGCATTGATAGTTAAGCTGCTTTAAACAACAGTTGTTACAAGCATGAGCCTGTGCAGAGTTTAAATCACATTTTAAAATTCAAAGAGGAAGATATCACTTGATAATGTGGATCTAGATATTGGAATTCAAAACAACTCTTCATGATGAGATGGGTGATACTGGTGTCCTGTAGGACTCTCAGACCGATAACTGGGTACCCGTGGCTCCAGAAGATAGATTTCCAAATTTCTTGAAGAAGGTCACATTCATACCAGTTACAGAAACACACATTCCTCAATCTGAGAGACCCCAATGTGCTTCA